ATCCTCTCATTCGACTGAAAAAGCGTCGTTAAATAAACTACAATTATAAGTAGAACGATGTAGCGGGATTACAAAGGGAGTGTAACAAATAGACGTTCATCGACCGTCTCTTGGAATTTCTACATCGACGATTTGCAGAAGTAACCGCAGACATGACCTTTGGGGGGGAGAGAGATAATTTATGGTTATTTTTCTTACATGGCGGTTAGTGAAAAAGACAAAGAATTTTTGTTTGTGTCAGAACAAAACGCAAGAGGATAGATAATTTTTGTCTTGTGATTGTGATATGTTACATGAAGAGGAAATTTGAAAGTAAGGAATGCTGTAGATGATAGAAATGACCAGTACACTTTTACGGTTCGCCTGCTAATGGGTTAAGCAAGTTTCAGCCTCGTTGCAAGAAAAGGTGTTTTTTTTCTCAAGAGTCCTTGAATTAACGACAAACCTCCTTCTGACATCTGCCATGTTACATTGTGCAAGATCTGTAGTAAGAATCACAGGGTACCCTCGTAACTGTGAAATATATTTTGTATAAATATATAAATATGGCTGTCAACTTATGATAAGAGCTGTAGTAGGAGTTCTCAACTCGCGGCCCGCCAATGTTTTACGTGGTCTGGGTACAATGATGTTATGTTAACCACTACGCTGAAAAATAGTTACCTATATCGGAAAACAGGTTTTGTTAGTGTAGTTAGCATTTGGCAGTAACTGAAGCTGTGACGAATTGTCCGGATCAATGAAGGACGTCAGATCAGAAGCCACTACGCGTCTTACTGATGGCCACTCGGAGGTGTGCATGTGAATTGCAACAACAGAAATTAAACCTAATACTGAAACGTTACTTAAGCAAAAGCAATGACAAATGACCAATAATTGATTTCAAGAAAATTATTAAATATATGCGAATATGTTTGCAGTGGTAGACAGAAATTAATAAATTGATTTTGATTTCCAATAAATCGTCTTCACTTAAAATATTATGGTTTGTGATTGGATAAGAATAAGTGTATATGATTTTAGGTCTGAAAACGGTTGAGAAACCCGGATCTGTAAATTGTGTGTGTGTAAAATATATTTTAGTCATCATACTGAATTCTTATTACATTATAATAGTGGTGGGGGTAATAATAGAATTTTGAAGAAGAGAGTCATTAAAACTAGAATACGGCTTGTATTTTTAAATTAGTGATTAGTAAATTTTGTGCTAGAAAGCTCTAAGAGTAATTAAAATACTTACGCGAACCGGAATATGGAAAACTCATAATGACTCAATTTTGGTAAATTACTATTCTCTTTGTAGCTTAAGTGCGTCATGTTTGTGTTGAAATCAAATATATATTTATTATCTCAGTCTATACACAAACGTATTTAAAATGTTGTTGTTAAAATTTATATAACACTATAACATCTGTAGTATAAAATATTATATTACATAAAATATTACAATAAGTTATAACTTATTGTAATATTTTATGTAATATAATATTTTATACTACAGATGTTATAGTGTTATATAAATTTTAACAACAACATTTTAAATACGTTTGTGTATAGACTGAGATAATAAATATATACTATTCTCTTGTTTTTGTAAAAAGTTAGTTTTGGGAAAAAATTAATACCCTTTATTAAATAGATCATTTCGAGTTCCGAAACTAGCCGCGGATTCCATTTTGCCAACCCGTCTTTTGAAGTATAAAATAAAAACAATATATTATTATGACAGGATTAAGCTTTGTTGTTCCACAACAGAGAATATCTTGTTGACATGAATGTATTTCAACTGCACTGCTCTGTGAAATTGGTCTACTTTCAGCTTGTTTGTGTTTTCAGTAAGCTATCTCTTTTCTCGCCGGTCTGAAGTCTGATTCGTAAATCTGTGCACACAATAAAAGCTTTGGAGCTGTCATTGTGATTTGCAGATGCTTCTTTGTCTTAGAGTAGCACCACAGAGTTCACCTGCAGAGGCGATGGTGGCCTCCTCACGTTGGATCACGTAAATTAAATTACCTGTTTTCGACATTCACGAGTCCATCTTTTTAAAGACTGGATAGGTTAGAATATAAAGTAAAATTCTGTCGATGGTACGTATAGTAGCCTATTGTAGGTGGGCCTAATTATAAAGCAGTAATAATGACTCGAGATCAAGTACTTAAGAAGTAAAATCTTGAGAAACAGAAGTGTGTATTTATTTATTTGTTTTTAATTTATTTACTAACTATATGCGTAGCTCAGACAGTATAGTGACTGGCTACGGACTGGACAACCGGGGTTTGATCCCCGACGGAGGCAGAGGAGTTTTCCTCTAGCCTCTGCGTCCAGACCGGCTCTGGGGCCCACCCACCCTCCTCTACAATGGGTACGGGGGGTCCTTTCCCGGGGGTAGAGCCGGCCGGGGCGTGATGCTGACCACTCACCCCCATCTAGTGCCGAGGTCAAGGAAGAGAGGAGCTATACCTCCACTCCCCCCAAGCGCCTACATGGCGTATAGTGGGACAGCGTTACTTTACTTTTATATGATATATAATGTTAGGATGATTATTGAATACTGAATTGGAAGGAATATGGAAGGAAGCGGTAATTTAAAGTACTTTACTGGCGTGTGAGTTGAGGGACTGCTAAAAGCCGCGATAAACCACAATCAGCGGATCACGGCGCCGTGATTTTGAAACCTGGACCTCCCGAATACGATGATCACGACGTTCGGCACTAGCGATTATTAACATATGGAGCAGAAACATGACACATATTAATTAACTCTAAATTAAATTTATAAACCGGAAGTACAGAAGAGATTAAGAATCGAAAATTAAGAAATAAATTATTTACAGAATAAGATGGTCCTGCCGTGTTTTAATAACGACGAAAGTGGGATTTTTAAATGAGATATTGAACAGGAAAATAAAATGCAGTTGCCACATATGAAGACCGAGATTGAGTTGAGAACAAGTTAGGAAGGTTGCAGAAGGAAGGTATTGGAAGAAACTGAGGAAAAGAAGGTATAGATGGTAAGGGTTGAGTACCATTGCTCCCACAGTAACTGGAAATGTCTTAGGAAGAATAGGAAATTCTAACTCGTTACCAGAAGTTGTACTGAGGTAAATCGTGCAATGCCGATCGATATAAATTTTAAATAAATCCACCTCGATGAAACAAAAATATCAGGTCCTTAGATGATGGTGACATGTTACAAGGCAAAAGATTGGACGGTAACGTGTTACAAATACATCCCCCCTGAAGTTTTGTTAACGAGGGACGAGATCTCTCTCCTGCCACAAGTCTGGTTGCTGTCGGAGCTAATAGCGAGTGGTAGCACGGGGACCCCAGACCGACTGACCGTGACCTATGGGTGTGTCGATGTCTGCAAAATGTCCCCGAGGGCCACCGAGCTCTGCAACTGCATATAATGTAACTGTTAACAACATTTCCTAATATACTGTCCATTAAGACGAAGCAAATGTTTAAGAATTATAGTCACGTTCAACAGTCTTAAAATTATACATAAAGTTTGTGAATGATCGTTACTGTTCTTTTAGGCACTAGAAAGCCCACGTGTAATAACATAAAACTTTATAGCCTGGTTTTCTTTGCGTTCAAATGAAATAAATTCCAACTTATCTCTTGGAAACAGTTTGGTTATGATAATGATGATATTTCAGATGCAGATTCAAGGAATAGACTTGTTGACTTGTTCTGGTACAGTGGAATTAATTCACGATGTTGAATTGCTGTGGCACGCATGGGCGAGGTACAGTGTGGAAGCCAGGTTAGAATCGATACGACCTAAACACAATATGCAAGGAAAGAAGGATAAGAAATGTTCTACACCTAATTTAAATAAAAGCGAATGACAGTTAATATGTACCATTTAAGACCTAACTCTATAACATTTCACAATAAGTAGACCCAATTCTATATTCCTATTTCAGATGCAGGTCTCATTAAATCTGAATAGTAATTTATATAACCATTTGACTTTACAATCAGTTTGAAACAAGGTTTGGTATTTGGTATGCATATTTTTGTAGAATGCAAAGTTGGCACTGTACTATAAACCCATTAGCAAAAGATCATTATAGTCGTACCAGATAAAGATGGAGTGGTCAATTATTGGACGAGAGTGATGGAACAGGCTTCATAAGTCTAAAATCTACGTAGGTAAAAAATAATGACAGTAATAACAATAAACACACAAACTGTCAGGAGCAATGTGTTACTCTCCGGAGAGTTGAAGTCACATACTCCAGAATGTACATTCCTGCAATGAAAACAAATTTGGCTCTTGATTTATCCTGTAGAATCACAACTTCTCTCTGATATCAATTCACCAATGGTTTTGAAAATTTAACGTCAAAAATACCATATAAGGGAATGCCAGTGTAAAGCTTTTCAGTTATGACTTAGGGAAAAATGTCTACTTGATGTTTCGAAGGACATTATACCACTTCATAAAATTTCTGTAAAACTTATTACGAAAGTCTCCCATCCGTTTAACTTTCTCGTTTTGTGGTTCTACGAACGTGCATAAACTATTGTTACTTCAAGTACCAGACCCGGTACTACAGTTTGATCAGTTTAAAATGCAACCACAATGCACTTGAACGCCTTCACGCGAGAAACAACGAAACCAATTTCAATACAGAATTCTTGCAGTTGGTAAACTGTTTGAAATCAGCTGTTTTGTCTTCGATCAACACTTTGTCACATACAAGCACTTCCTGTCTCCCGAAATGTTGTCTTATTCAGTACTCCCTTGTCAGGACACTCATTACTAAATTCCTCACGAAAAACAGGAAATGATTTCGAGAAGGAACACACATTCTGCAGGTGAATATAACGTGTTTTTCGCGAACAGTGACCTAGCAACAAGGGTGACCTTTACTGTAGTGTCACGGGGGAGGTTGTGAGAGTCTATTACCAGGGGATAGACTGTTTCTGATTGTGATTTTGTGCCGTAGGATGTGATTGTTATTGGTTTTCGTCATAAATGGTACATCCTTTATAACACAAGTATGACAGCAAGAACGAGAAAAGTAAGTGGGTCTCTTAACAATATAAAATCCTTGGCATTTAGAAACAGTTACGTCACATAAAACAGCAGTATGGCTAGTTTCTTTTTCTTGTCTAGCCACAATGGAACTTGCGTTAAACTTCACGTACTCAATGGCTAGGTAGACTGTCTTTATTCATCCCGTCAGTCAGGAATCTTAACAAACAGGTGTTTTTCTTTCCTTAAAGTCAGGTTTTGCAACTGTAAGACATTAATCAAAGTCGTCTTGCCTGATGATTTAAATATAGGGGATATGTTTCTGATCACCTGTGTTAACAAGAATAGGCATCCATTACATCATATACAATTTTGAAACTACCTGCGGCGTGACCCAAAATGTACCTACCAAGTTTAATGCTTGAAAGTCTCATTCAAATACTGTTCAAATCAACATATATCAAAGCTGTTTATATAAGTGTGTTTGCTCTCAATTTTGACGATTTTTTAACAATCTTATCATAAAGTTTGACACCGTACTTTGAAAGATGCCTGTTAGAATAGCAAAAATTTCACGCTCAATGGACGAACTTCTCTAGTCTTTCGGTTACTTTGGTACCCGAACGAAAACAAATGATAAACAAATGGCTTGCGTATTTCAGTGTGTCAGTAAAGTTTCTTAAAATTATGATCGCTCGTTGCGGAGAAAATTGAGTTTAAACTCGGTATATATATTTTTGGACAGCCTTTACTTATACTTTTTGTGTAACTTAAAAAAGAATTTAGTTACCGTGTTCACACGAGCTCGCCACCTGTCCCTATCGAGAGTGATAAATATCCAGTGCACACTTACACTTTTTATTTCTCTGAGTCAGTTTTAATATTGTCGCTCCATCTCCTTGGTTTACAAAGTCTATCTTCCCTTCAAATTTTTGGACTATTTTTTTCACAAATTTCACATTTTTCTCATACGAGCTGCATGTCCTACTCATGTCCTACTCATGGCATCCTTCATAAATTCATTACCCTAATAATATTTTATTGAGAAGTACAAATTTGTGAAAAGTTTTTCAAGTCCACAAACAGTAAAAATTATTTTACCATTGAACTTAGTACAGATCAGTACCAATGTGTGAAGACTTATTTAAGATTTTAGTAAAGTTGTCTCAGTCTATTCTATATTTAGTTAAAATTCGTCAGATTTGTCGTGTTCAGAATGCTTTAGGGCCTGTTTCATATTGTTTTTGATTTCCATTTTTATGACTTGTAACCCATTCGGTAACCCTTCATTAAGCAAACTTCTCCATCCATCTGTTACGTCCGGTCTTTGAGGTTCAAATATTCTCCTCAAATTTTCAAATATTCTACTTACCACTAACTAACTAACTAACTAACTAACTAGATGGCTTACCGAACCGGAAGGTTCATCACCGAATTAACCAAAGCCCTCCACCGGACCCTGTCCTGGGCCAACAAAATCCAGTCTCCTTCAACTCCTATCTCCCACTGATCCCGCCTGACATTATCCTCCCATCTACGTCTAGGTCTCGACAGCTGTCTCTTCCCCTCAGGCTTCCCAACCAATACCCGGTGCACACCTCTTGTCCCATCCATGCGCGCTACATGCCCCGTCCATCTCATTCTTCTCGACTTAATCACCCTGACAATATTGGGGGAGGAGTACAGATTTTAAGTTCGTCATTATGCAGTTTTCTCCAGACCCCATCGTCTTCTCCCCTAGGCCCAAATATCTTCCTCAACACCCGATTCTTCTGACCACTCTCTTGCCAAACTCAACCTGTGTTCTTCCCTTAGAATGATTATGTGTAATACAGTGTAATTAATTTCCATAAAATTTGTAAAATGGTGTTTTCTGATACTATATCATTTACCCTGTGTTTCCAACAACAAAAGTTACAATTGACGACGATAAAAGGTAAAAAAATGGCCCCATTTTCCTCACAGCATAAAATTAATGGTCATCAAATTTCCTGATGTTCCAAGGGGTGGACCGTTGTCTGAAACCTCCCACGACACAAATACAAATGTGTCACTTCTTAACCTCTCTCCGTTCTCACACTGGTTTCATATAAAAATCGTCAATCAGACAAGTCTGGGGAACGATAAAGTTTATTATTATAATACTAATGTATATATACTTGATCCTGTGTCGTACATAACGGTACGTAGAGCAAAGTTCTTAAAGTTGAGCATCTGTCTTTACAGAACGATATCAAGAGCCTAAAATATATACTGCAGTCAATCACTTTGTGTATCTCATTGCTAAGTTTGTCGATTTGTATTTATTACTGTAGGCATAAACATATTGCAACATAGAGTCAGAAATTATTTTTCTATGTAATGTATTCTGAAACTAAAGCTTTTACTTTCACCATTTAATTTGTGTGTGTGTGACACATTTTGAAAAAAAAAATCTATATTAGGTGCACTAGCGAGTGATATTCAATAATTAATTAATAGCCTCAATCAAACCAGCGCAGTAGCTTCATAAAAGAAAACGTCCAATGATGCTTACATATGATTAACATAGCATTACAGTCTGCCATTTTAATTCTCGAATTTATTATATTTTAAGATAAAGAGGCATGGAAATCAATATATCGCCTGGGATGTTGCGCCGTACTAGAAGGAAGATTAATTAAATGATTAAATTGTCCCCCCCTCCAGAAATATACAGTATTAAAGTTTTTAAGGAAGAACAGAATACATGACTTGTATTGTAACACGACCTACTTCCCAGAGTATGCTGTTCCCAAGACACTACGCCATATCCGGTTTTAGTAGAGAGCTGCCTTTACTTACGCCATAATGCTAATAGTAAAGTAAAGTATTTTAAGAAATTGTTTTTTGATGTGATGTCCAGACGGGCCATAGCCTTGCAATTTCTTATAATTATGTCTAATTTATCTACAGTAATACATTCTTATATATGTAATGCTGAGAAGAAAACTTTTTAGTGACCAATCTCTAGGTTTTAAAAGCTAATTTGTCCAGAATGCGAGAAAGTGATATTACAACGTCTTATCTTTTCAGTCGGCTCACGCCTCTGTGTTTAACGGTTCACTGGGCTTTCTTATTAATAATATTTGGTATTTAAGTGTTTATATCTCATACAGATGCCCCCTGGGTACAAGCTTCAACATGAAATTAAAGATTATGAAAGAAATTTCCGTGGAGACTAAACCACAATATCTCATTTATTTCATTTCACAATTCTGTGTCAATTGCAGAAGTATGTAACATTATTTGGCGTGGGAATTTAATAATGTGTAAACAGTATATTATGTAATGACAAGAAATTTGCCCTAAAAATAAAGGGATAATCTAAAGTAGTGTTTAAATACATTCTTGTTGATAAGTGTAAAGACACAGTATATGCAAATTAAATTCATTATTTGTCATTACTTAATTAAGAAAGCTTGGAGGTGTTAACACTTTAAATATCTGTTTTTCTTCTTCGTATAAAAGTACTTATTCATAGCAGGTCAATGGAGGAGCAAACAACCTTTCGTTTTAGAGTAGTGTTTCCACAAACCAGCATATAACATTAAAATTAACTAATATTATGTATCAAAAAATAATAATACCATTTATCTTTGCTTAAAAATATAATACAAATAATTTTAATAAAGAATGTAATTCGTTTTTATGTACCGCAGTCTGAAATATAATCTTTGGTCAAGGTTATAATAACTATATATAGTAGGTCACTTAACAGCATTAGCATGGCAACGTTCATGATATCCCATAAAACCCAAAATCCCTCAACATGAAAAATTCACCACACCATAGCAACTGTTATAAAACACACACTCGTTCATAAATATTATTATACAAGACCTAAAGTCTCTTATCAGTAGAAAATGATGACCAACAAACTAACTAATCAACAAACCAACACTGCCTATAGCATATAGATAGCGGAATTAGTTTAAATAGACTGAGTAAAACTATGAACATCCTCGGAATTGTTGGCAGTCGTGCCGAATTCCAAATCTAATTAAGTATCATTTGAATACAAGTATGGATTACTTTTGCCCCACGAATACGATGGTTGATATTTTCGAGAGCTTATAAACGATTATTACAGTTAAACTATTTACGAATTCTGACGAAGTACAAAGAAACCGCGAATTCTTGCTCTAGACCTGTCGTAAGTTGCCTAAGAATATCACAAAAACCTCTGAACAACCTGGAATGGGCGTTAAAAATCAGCCCCCCCCCCCGACTTACAAATTCTGAAAATCCCTCCTCGTTGACATTATGTAATGAGGGCGTGGATGTTAGACTCCACTCATTCTTAATCTCCGCCGCACTCTATAGTAATGAGTGGTAAGTTTAATGCACTGCCCACTTACCCCCGGGCGTAAGTCCTCCACTACCATCAAAATAGGAGACTGGTTAGGCATAGATTTTGCCTGAACGAAATGACGTCTTTTAACTTTGCCATAGCCTGTAATTTTTGTGACTAAACTTTTCAAGCTTCTTAGAAATTTCCGTTATATTTTAATTTGGAATAGATCACATTTAATTCAGTAAAACAATGTAAGATAAAGACGTGCAGTTTGTTTGTATTAACTGGATAAATCATTCTGAAATAACTGCTATTGGCTTGTATTAGGAGAGATATCTTAAGTATTACCTAGAACAACGCAAACGTGAGATACAAATAACAAGTAATTGAAGAATGTTAAGGTAAACTGGAACAAGGTGCCTATCACCTGTACGAGAGAATTAATTACTATAGCCTGTTTGTAAGACAATGCATGGGCGGAGGTGCATTAAACGTTTTCTGAATAGGAGGTGAATTATATAACACCATATCTACAACGTTTCTTCTTGCATTTAATTAGTCTTGGGGAATTTAGGCAACTGAGGTCAGTAACTAAACATCTGATATATGACAAAAACTTGTCACTGAAAGTGGTATAACACGGTGGACTTATAAATTAATCATGCTCTCCTTTTAAAGTGAAATATTAACACTATTCATTCCAGTTTAGTGTGAAAGGAAATTTGAATTAA